TTTTATTATTTTCATGACATTTCAAAAAAGTTAATTAAAAACTAGTATCATTATGCTAAATCCCTTGTATGGAATTAAAACAAGATAATTTTAAACATTTATAAGTCATTTTAATTATAGAATGTTTTCATAAAAAATTATTCAACTAGCTTATTCTAAATATTGTTTTATGAACATAATTTTGTCTTGACTGATTTTCAAAACTCAGTACTATGGTACACATACACACAGATTATTCAAAATTTTACAATAATTCTTTACACACAAAGACAACATTTAGTTCTTTTCCACCTACATTTCCATCATAAAACTATTAAAAATCAATTGAGTTAGACTAATGGCTTTTACCAATATTCCATCTTTATCCCATATTATTTATTTTTGTAGTAACTTATGAAACAATTTTTGTGGTTTAACTTTTTTGGCATTATGACTGAAATATACTAAATATTCAACATACCTTACAGGTGACATCAAATTTCCATGAACTATGAGCATCTTTTGAAGTTACCATCATGTCAAGATTAGGTTTGACCTCAACATTAACACCAGCTAAATTTTCTGTCATCACCAAGTCAGGATTTGTGGCATTAAACCATTTCTCTAATAACTGTTCAGAATAGAGGCTTCCATGCAGGTTACAATCCTTAGCTTTCTGCATTTTCATCTGACGATAGTTATATCTTTCTTTCCACTCAGCTAGCTCTTCTTCTCCATGCGCATCACAGCACTGAGCACCCAGTCTGCACTGTCCACCAGCCTGGTGACTTTATAAACATAGATCAACCTTCTTTCCCTAAAACTTCATATTTCACCATGTACTTTCTTGTGAACAGATATTATTTAATACAAAAACTATCAGCAAGTCCGGTATACTTGACCTAAATCATAGTAAATGTGACTAAAATTTTGGTAAAAACCAACAACAACAATAATTTTCTGCTCATCTGAGGTTCTAGTAAAAAGTCTATAAGAACTGTTAATGTAAAGTGGCTTCTAAGCACTGAAGTTTTCATTTGGGGTGGGAGAGAGGCTGAAGTTGATATATAAGGATGGTTTCTTTTATTCTAATCAGATATTCATTACAGGCTGGATTCAGTTTTAAGACAAAGTAAAAGCACTGTTGTAAAAGAATATCAATACCATAGTTAATCTTTATAAAAATCATTCACTGATGTTAAGTCATGTGACCCAAAATGCAAATAATTGGTAATTCAGCCAATGCCTGTAAATGAACATTTAGTAAATGTGGTGCTACATCTTTACTGTTTATGCAATTCCACTTCAACAAAAAGTATGATTACAATGAAGAGCAAGGGAAGCCTAGCACTGAAGTTGCATGCTTAAAATCAGTGTTGATAAGGTGCCGAGTTATCCTTAACCGAAAACCACTCCATTCGGTCAGTTTCTTCTTCTTGAAGCAAGAAAGGTCAATTTATCACAGTGGGATGAATATCATCACTCATTATGCTAAAATCAAGGTCAATCACACCAGCATGAGGTAGCACAAAGGATCATGTGATGTGGTCACTATCAGTTTGTTGCATTATTGGTACTATTCTGTAGGATATAGGGGTACATAGATATACATGATTTAACATTTTGGAGAGTTTCAGCAATTAAGAGAATTTCTGATTCAATTTACTTTTAACCCTTTCATTACTAAAATGTATATATTAAGCACCTCAATTCAATGCCATTTCATTATTAATATTTTCCAATCTATTATAAGAAAAATTATTTACACACCCTTTATACATGTTCTGTGGATAATAATATTTTACATTTTTAGAGTTAAAATTACAAGGAAGTATTTATCTCTGAAATACTGAACACCTTTTCTTATTGAGTTTGAACTTATGCCGTTAACAAACATGGGATTCAAAATTTCCGAATGTCCTTTATGCACTGCAGAACATGCATCAACTACTCATAATAATTTGTAGAACTGGAATCAAGGGAGATTTGAGTAGATCAGACCAGTCTTAAAAAAAAAAGACAAAAAAGACTGGACTTAAAACATACTCCAAAAGAAGACATTCTTCTCAGCAGGGTACTTTTTTGCCTATGATATCCTTTAACTCACGAAAAAAAAACTGGGTTTGTGAGAGGTAATGGTGTATTGAGCATGTGGATCTAATAATAGGATACAAGTGGTAACATAAATAGGTAAGAGGAATACTCTGTCCTGTTCCTGAAGTGGAAGATTCTTGGGAAAGCAGTCCAGATACTTATTATGAAAGGACATACTTCAAAGTCAGCAGTCCTTCGTCCAGATTGAAAATGGTCAGTGAGTCACACAATAGGACAGATTAGTGGGTGCTCAGGAAGAACTGAAGAAAGACACAATCAGTTCCAAAAAAATGGGCTAAGCACTGCATGGACAGTGCAGTGGGAATATTAAAACATGATAAATAAGAATAGGAACATAAGTGATCACCATCCTGGGGTGAAACTGAGACATCTATTAATAATAGATGCCACACAAGGACACACATAAAAAGTTGGAAAAAGTACCAAGTACCTTCCAAGGAACCATCAGCCACCAGATGTTTTCTTTTTTTTTCACTTATAAAAACCAACACCCTTTCATGGAAGTCTTGCATAGACAATGGGATTTTATATTTTTTATCAAGGACAAATCCAAAAATATATTTGTAACATGTAAGAGTCCCAAACGAACAAATCTATACATAAGGAATCTCACAGATGGAGAGAACATTATTGTTTTTAATTAATTAATATGTTTATATATATATAATCAAATAGTTTCTTAACCACAGATGCTCTCTAGATTTGTGAAAAGGAGTTTAAGCAATATAGAAATACTTAGTGTGCTCTGGCCAAGAGCAGGAATTAAAAAACATGCAAGAGTCTTGACTGGATAAATTTATATATATATATAAATGATAGATACATAAGAACAAACTATACTTAATTACTGTGCATCTCTTGTTTTGTATTGTTTGTTTGAAAGTCAAAATTAATTAGAATCCCACACACCCTCAAAATGATTAATAATGGGTGTTGGTCAGAATATACTAAAACTCACAAGAGACAAATTCCACCAAGCCTGGAGAATGACCATAGGTGGCAAATGAAATCCTGAAATTTAAGATGCAGTGATGTAATGAAGGTAAAATAGCAAATAAAGTATGCACATTTGTACTCGTGCCTGCCTACAAGATGTCTGCTGAAGGATACAGAGACCAGTAGGCCAAAGACATAGCCAATTGTAAATGAGATGAGATGTAACCTGAAATACACACTTAAGGTGGTTGGGAAAATTGTGATAAACAATTTGGATCAGCTGTACAAACTAATTTGTTAATGTGGATGAAGCAAGATCTATGGAATGAGATTCATCGTAAGGTAAACAACCAATGTCAATTTTCTCAAAACAAATAGCTCTACCTACACATAAAAAATTTTCATCACAAGGAAAATCAGGGTCTGTCAGAGTAAGTTACACAATAGAAAAAAAAACAAAAAAACTGTGGTGACTATCTATTACAGCTAAAGCCTCTGAAAGGAAGGCTCTATCAGAATACAAGTGCACATAGCCTTATTGGGAAAAAAAACAGTATGAGAAAAATCATTAACAAAAATTTCTGAATGTCTCCTCCCTAAAGCAATTAATAAAATAAAATCCAATTTCAAGGAAAAATGGTAGAGAGAGCAAGTTACAAATAGTTCAAAAGAAGAATCCAGGCAACTTAAGTCTAAAGCTGAGCAATCAGTGGAGTATGATAATCAATTAATCATCGGGCTCATTGGTCAATTACATTCCACTAATCAATTATTATCAAGAGAAAGTTGGAGAAATTGAAAATAGCAATAATCAGAAACTCTAATTTTGATCATTTGTTTATTTTTGTAAATCATAATACTAACCAATTAAGAAGAACCTTGAATTAATTGAACATAATAATGAGAAATCATAATGGCAATATATAATGGGCTTTAGCAGTAGCAAATACTAATAATTGCCCAGCTCTATATGGTACTAGTTTATAAAGGTTTGAAATTGGTGTTTTGTTTCCTTGAAAACTGCAATAAAACGCCTGTAATATTTCAGTGGCTAACACATATAAACTGTTTTTCAACCACTTTATTCCATGATGATACAATAACCAAAAGTATATATGATGGTGATCTCAAAGTACCACCACCAATGATCCCATTGTACTGAAAAAATATTTTTAGTGGGAAACAGCAATAGTAGTGTCATATCTTCATATACCAATAACGGACCTCACATTCTGTATAATAATAACTGCCAAAAATGGATGCTATTCAAATGATGGCACAGATCAAAGCAGTGTGGAAGTGAATCTCAAGAAAGTAATTAATACAGTACAGATATGTAGATATTCAAGGCAGAAGCTTTCAGCTAATTATCAGATATTCACCAGAATCTTCAAACACTGAAATTATGTCTCTTGCTATCTTGTAACACATATTTTTAAATGAGGGTTAATTCATTATGAAATGAGATTAGTCAATATAAAAATTCAGTTAAGTCAACTAAATGAAATATGTTTTTAAAACACTCTTTAAGGTTAAAACTTTGTTGGATAGTTAGCATGGTTTCACTAGGGAAAAATCTTGTCTTAATAATCTTCTGACATTCTTTGTAGAGGTTATTGCTAATGTAGATGAGAGTATGGGTGTGGATTTAGTGTATTTAGATTTCAGAAAGCATTTTATAAGACGCCACATAAAAAGTTCATTTAGAAAGTTATTTCTGTAGCTGTTGGAGATAGCTTGGCTCTTTGTACAGAAAACTGGCTAAATGTAAGAAAACAGAGGGTTGTTATAAATGGAATTCAGCAAAACTAGATTAATGTCATCAGTGAGGAACCTCAGGGCTCAGTGTTAGGACCTTTGCTCTTTCTGATTTAATTATTTAAATTTACTGATGACAAAAAAAAAATTATCCATGATGGTGATCTCATACTACCACAATCAACCTGATCATTAACAATACCATTAAACTGAAAATGTATTTTTGCAGGAAACTACAACAATAGTTTCGAGTCTACATTTACTTTATTAACATACTGATAAAGGACTTCACATTCTGCATAATTATAATTGTCAAATTCTTAAGTACTGTAGACCAGTCATAAAAAGCATAAGATATGTAAGCTGGGTTGTTAAAGTCAATTAAATTTGATTATGACATTAAAGTTTTGGGTGTTATTGGCTGTGCTGCTGCTGCATTTTTACAAAAGGAATTGGACAATCGGTGAGGTGGGCAAATAAGTAGCAGATGACTTTTAATCATAATAAATACAAGGTAATGCAAGTGGGAATTTGAATTATGAGTATAATTTTGATAGGAATAACCTTAACAGTGTTATGGAAGAAAAGGATCTTAGGGTTCTGTTTGATCAGTTGCTTAAACCATCCAAGCAATGTGCTGTTGCTGGTGACAGAGCAAATAGAATTTTAAGTTGTGTCTACAGAAATATTGAATACAAGTCTAAAGAGATTATAACGTATAGGTCATTGATTAGCTCACATTTGGAGTACTGTGTTAAGTCTTGGGCACTTTCACCTTAGAAATGACACTGAATTGGAAAGGTTTGAAAGAAGGAGGACTACTGGGATGGGAAGGATGTCATACAAGAATAGGTTAAGAACTTTGATCCTGTTTCCTTTTGAAAAAAAAGAAGAGTTATAAGGGATCTGATTGAGGTGTTTAAGATAGTAAAGGGAATTGATAGAGTTGATGAACTATCTTTTTTTCATATTTAATGGTGAGAATGGTAAGACTAGGGGAAAGAAATATAAATTTTGGCAGTGTAAGAGTCATCTTCAGCTAAGACAGCTTAGATGGACCAAACGTCCATTTAACGGTCCTTTAATGTTATATCATACATTGTTTTAATATTTATTTTTATAATAGTTCAAATTTTCAATACATCTTCAGCCATCTCAGGGATTGATGAAAAAATTAAATTTATAGTTACTTTTTTGTTCTTAACAGGACATAAATAACATTGTTGGTGAAAAATATGAGATACAAATAGCATGCAAAATCATGCTTGTTTTTGTTCATCAGCTAACCCTCTCACTACAGGCATCTTATTCTGCACGTGTCACGTGGTTTTAGTGAGTTACATTCAAAATTTAATTAAATTACTTCCTTATCATGGTATACAAATAAACTTGGTATAAAAATGTAGCTAATAATCCAAATTTTAATAGTATATAAGTTTTAAGTTCTTAATTTTATAACACAATATTAAAAAGTCCTGAATTGTCCCTAGTATGAAAATTGTGACATTTTCTCTCTAGGCATCCCCTCTTCTCTAATTTATTTACCACCCCTCCAAGAAGTATGAAATTTATCACAAATTACTCATTATAATATTTTCATTGCTCAGGCAAAGCACAATTTTTATAGCCTTCAATCTTATTTAGTTACAGAGCCATAAACTAGAAAATCTGACCCTTCTTGCCACACTCACCTGTCACATCCTCTTTTTCAGAAATTGGAAATAACTCTCTCTGACATTTAATACTATATTATTTATAATCGACAGAAAGCCAAGGTTTTATTTTATCAAATGACATACTATATTATGTTGTTTTCTGTACAGAGAATGGTGTATTTTGCTTCCAGTTCAAACTTTATTCCCATGGGAAATACATTGAAGAGCTTAGCTGACTTTTAATGGCTCTTTTTGCATAGTTAGAAAGCCAGAAAAATTGTGATAGTTATGGGACATTGTATGCTTTTTGCATGCGATTATTGTGTTCTTTGGTGCATTATCTAATCAAATAAAAAATTATTTAGTGCAGTAGTAACACTAGTATAAAAAAGTAGGGTTAAGTTTCATTCACAGTTGACAGCAAAAAAAAGAGAGAGAGAGAAGAAGAAGACCCAGGTAAGTACTGTATTTTTTGTTTTTTATATGAATTCTTTATTTATTATTATAAAAGTAACTGAAATGTAAAAATTAGAACCTTTTGTGGTTAGGTAAGGTTAGATTAGATAAGATAAAACATTTTCACAAGGTATGATAGCAATCAACTCATGAGTAGCTCATGAATTATGTAATATGATAGGGTAATGTGACCTTCACATTCACCATATGATTTACAAATTTTATGGTGGAAATAACAGTTATTTATGGTTCAAAGGGTAATAAAACAATAAAAGTATAAATAGATGTATAAAGTTACAAGTTTAATGGTATTTAGGATGAAATTATTCTACAAAGAAAAAAAAAGTGAATTATAGTTTTTGATTGTTTTTTTTGGGGGTTACGAGGTTGGTCAATTTGACCAACATCATACAGTGTTAACGTATAGAAAGTAACAGATAAGATAGAGTTTTAATGGAAAAAAGTTGCACTTTGCACTCAAAGCAGTCAACACTTTAACTCCATATATTCATTGAAAATGTTTTTGTGCAAATACTTCATTACCATTTCAGATTTTTTGTCTACGAATCACTCTTAATGATTACTGAATTTTTTCAAAATTTCATATAGATATACAAAATATATTAGAAGTTATAGTATGGAATCTATAAAGATCAATTTGAGGTCACGAACTCGGCCAATTCTACTGAGCCTGTAGCAAGAGAGTAAGTATCTGAACATTCAGTTAACATATAAAAGAATTATGACAGCTGACAATCACCCTTTGTAAACGGCTATTATCATTTAAATGTTCAAAAAGTATATAATACTGTGTATACACACATCCATTCCTTCAGGTATTTCAAGAATTCCACAACCAGGTGCAGTCATGTAATTAATAACAAATACTGCAACCAAAGGTGTCCCAATACATATGGGTATGCATACCACCCACAGTCCCAAATGACTGTTGTAATTTATTCCTCTTTTGTATATGGAAAACTTTAATAACTCAATCTGCATATGTATGTTTTTTTATGATCAGTCTACAACACTTAAGAATTTTAAAGACTAATTCATAGTGCTTGCATCATTTAGAAAACCTTCACTGTATACACACACTGGTTTAATGTACTTCAAACTCCTAGGGACTGGTCCATGATAACAATAGATTTTACAGACATTTTCATAATACTTTCAGCTTTTATACACTAATCAACAGTAATTACAGTTTTAAGAGTTGACTTAAATCCATTTATTTCTATATATTCACTTAATGTTATATATATTGTTCAAAAGCATCAATTACTTTAGTATCATTTCATTATTTTATGTGTACTGAAGTACACTGTCATTACTGTTCTCAACAATAAATCAATAATATGTTTCAACAATTCATTTAATTGTGTCTCTTATAATACTCACATTTCACATAGGCTGTAACTAGCAGCACTAATTCCTCTTGGAGGAGTTCGGAATTTCCAGTCCCGCCCTTTATCAGACATGATTGTTATCTGATGTTCCTGACTTCTACAATGAAATTCTAGCTCTGCATCTGTGGTAAAACCAACGTTACAATAGGAACAAAAGAGGTCAGCTTCTTGCACTAAAAAGAATAAAAATAAAAATAACAACAATGATTACTTCCACAAAATCATAAGTTCACTACAGTTTGTTCATTACAAAGTAAGACAATATGATGAAATATGAATAATTTAAAACTCATGAGAGAAGTTTTGTTTGTTTCCCTCTGTAATAATGACTTACAACATGTAGGGAGTTGTGAACTATTTATTTCCTCAAAAAATACATACATAGGTAAATATATATATATATGTGTGTGTGTGTGTGTGAATACTGGACATTCATTTCCCACAGTCATGAATTTGGTTGGTAAAACAACAGAGCTATCTTGATTCATCGGGATGGAAATTCCTGAATATTTATATTGATAACACACAGAATATCTTTCAGATGAATCATAATGACTAAGATACAGTACTTCATGAAGATTCTTATGAGTTTTGATTTGAAAGCAAGAAAGACAGTGAATTATGCATCTGGAATGTTGATGTATGATAGTTTAGCAATTACATAAAATTTTTAATTCAAATGAAGACACAACTTCACAAGAAAGATGCTTTAAACATGTTGCAGTGACTGAAATAATAAGTACAAGGGTCATGTTGGTTTCAATATTTATTCAAGTCTGAATATAAAATTTGTATTAACCACTAAGAATAACAACAGTGCAAATGTCTATTGTATAGAATATCAGCTGCCATTACATGAAATGAACTGCATTATTAACGAGAGTCATTGTGATCATCAATATTTATTAGAAGATTGCAAACACAAGCTGAAGCTGTTTGTGGATCATTGTTTGAGAGAAGAAGAATACAAGAAATTTTTTGACAACTTAGATAATGATGAGGCTCTTATTGTGATAGATTACAAGATGAAGTTTGATCCAGTCTAGTTTCTACAAAAAATAATTAAGCATTACTGAAAAAAATAGTACGAGTTGGCATGGATCAATAGAGATGAAAATGTTAATGATGAAAGTTAATCTTTTTGTGACAGTATAAATGCGAAAGATATACAATTTAATACTATTATCACACGTCTTCGAGGGATTCAAAGTAGGATTGGATAGCTGTGATCTCAATTTTGAAAGGAGCTTTGCTAGAACTAAAATGAGATTTTATTTTTATAAAGTATGTATACATCCCATCAGACAATGCAAAATGTTGTCAGAACAGCATGCTGTTATACAGAATGTATCTTGTATTCAAATCAGTTGGGATAAATATAAAATATTTTGTTCATACTGAAACAAAAGATGGTAAAGGGTTCATAGATGCACACTTCTTGGTGGCAATGCAACATGTGGATGAAGGTAGCAATGTTATTTCACCAAAGGAATTAGTACATACTCTTAGAGCCACTGGTGGGTTAAAAAACAATACTGTATTTTTATTTATACTAAACAAGGACACCATACATGGATTATTGAAGCAACATTTAATCTTTTTCAGAAAATTACCAAATACAATGAAGCTGTATTTAAAGAAGATAAAACCCATATGTACACATATTCCAATATGGATACAAAGACTATTAACTTGCATCCCACACTTCAAATTAATTGGAGACATTACAAATTGCTGCTTTTATTATGGTCCTATGAACCTAACGTTATCTGAGAAAAAAAAAGGCCAGTAATTTTATTAGATGCTTTAGGTGAAGCAGAGGAAAATGAAATGAAATGTTTGATATGCCAACTACAATTTGCAAGTAAAGTAGGGAGACTCCAGTGTGTAATGGGGCTGGAATCAAAAAGGATGCAATTTCTATGATGTGTGACATACTGAGAAGTGGAATGAAGATGGCAAAGTAACATTTTGTAACAAAAAATGATACTCTATCAATAATTGTTAGCATTGTTAACATCAGCATCATCAAAGAGATAAAACATGGTTGAGCTAAATACCCTGAACATGATAAGGTATATGGCAAGAAGCACATTGCAGATTTTATGCCATATGTTATCAAGATGTCCAACAAAGCCACTGACGACAATAGGAATAATTTGGGTTCTGGAAGAATGAAAGAAGAACTGATGCTGAAGTACGTGAATCAATATGATATTCCTTCTGAATAAAAACTTCAACTACAACACTAACATCAAAATTTGATAGAACTGGAGTAGTGATACTGTCAACTCCAATTAAATACCATCTAATTATTTAAGGACTTTACAACTGATTTTGATTGATAATAGTATGATATTGCCAAGAGATG